TGGAAGGTCAAATCGCCACTTCCATTTTAATGATCAGACAATCCAAATGATCACAGATCTATTTGATGGCTGGCTATCAACCAATCAGTAATTTGTAACTACCGTTACTGGTAGTCAATCAATTAAACAGATAGCTTTTTAAGTATTAGTCATGTTTTTCTTTTAAAACTATTTTGATTCATGTATTCATATCTTCAATGAAAGGTTTTTTTTAACAAGAAAGGGTTTTACGTACTGTGTTGACATAAAATATTTGTTTGATATGCAAATGTTGTAATTTAGAAGATTTAATGATGTAATATTTTTTAGAAGATTGTTTAATTGTAACGTTTATTGAAAGGAAGGCGATTAGTTTTATGTTTTCCTTCGTGAAAATTCGTGCCATATGGCAGCTAAGGTATTAAACAAGTTTCAGGTCATAGCTTACTCATTTGTAACTTCCGTTACTTTTTTTGTAACTTCCGTTACCAAGCTTATGATTAAAATTTCAAGAAAAGGTCTATACGTACGTCCTAACAGACTTGAAGAATATAATGGCATGGTCTTAGCTTCTGTAAAAGAACGTAGTTGTTCTTTCTTCTTCCTCTGAAGAAGAATATAGTATAATTATAAAAAAACTTATTTTAAAAAGAAACAATTTCAGACGGTTTAAATTATTTTTAGATCTCTATATTTTCTTCTTTGTAGGAGCAGAGCACTTTAATAGTATGATTTTTATTTACATGTTGCCCTGTATTAAGTATATACTACGTTGATTTTGAATAACTTAAAAACGAGAACTTAAAAAAGTGGAAAATTATTTTAAAGATCGGTGATTTTTTTGCCTAAAGTGATTTTCAAGTAAGTACAATAAAATGTTTCATAACTACGGAAATATATGACCTTTGGTGCTAATTTTTGAGGTATTTACTCTTCGATATTTGCGCTTTAAATTGAATGATTCGCCACGTACTTTCTGTGAAACTGATTTTTTTCGATTTTCCAAGTGACATTGGGCCCACTTTTTGTGGAATGGGTGAGAAGACTACTTAAAAGTAGTGTTTAGTACGGCGAAGATGCTTCCAAGTTCATTTCTAACCGCAGTTCGCATATATGATTTCGTATATTTACAGTCATTTAACAGACGGAGTTTTGCTTTAGGACCAAACAGTATATTAGCTGTATACCTAATTTCTCCGAGAAAGAAAGAAAAAAAAAAACAGAAACTAAATAAATAAAAATAAAATGGTATACTATCTACAGTACATAAAGCACTATCTACATAAGTAACAATTGCATCGATGTTCGGATGAAATTTGGCATATTTTAGTTCTGAAATCTTTCAAGGACGTTGATGACCTTAGGTCCTCTGTTAGTTTGTTCCACATGTTTGCAGAAGTGTATCTGAAGGAAATTGAAGGACTAAAATGTAAATTGCCTGTGACCAGTTTAGACTTAAAATCAAAGAAGATATCCACATTCAATGGGACAAACCTTCATCTAATCATCAACTTTATCATGTTAATTTAAAACTTTCCGTGTAAATGCATACATTATTCTGTTTCTATTGTTTGCCTTTTCCAATCAGCATTTTTTTACACACTTTGAATTCAACGTTGTACTTTGTATCATTCAGAAGTGAAGATGACAGAAGAACTGTCAAAACATGTTTTTAAAATGTGTCGTAATTTTCTTTAAACTACAACATTATAAGATGAAGCAATTAATGACATCAAAAAGTCGAACAGAACTTTTATCTTCTTCACTTCGGTAAGAACGAATGGCTGCTAATGAATCGCGCCTCTTCACTTACGGAAACAACGCCGATGTGCAATAGCTAAACGAAAGACTAAAACAGTTGGCAGTTACAGTTATACGATAACAATAAATTATTAGAGTTGATATTCTCTTGACGTTAAAAGAGTTATGATTTTATATCTATTGATGAAGGGCAAGCACAACAGGTACCACAAAAGAAAAAAGAAAAAAAAAAAAAAAGAACTTTAACTACGCCATGATTGCTTGTACCTCTTGCAGAAAGTTTACGCCACCACCTGGCAATGCTCTTAGTGATCCTGATCATGTGTCTCGTAAGTCTATGTGAAAAATAGTAGTCATAGCACTCATCAAGCAATGTCAATCTTTTAGGCGTTTGAGCGCAAAGTGCGCTCATTTTTTCCCTGAAGAAAAAATAGATAAGGGAGTTAAATAGAGCTGTTCTGAGCCATTTGAGGAGATACATTTCACATAAGAACAAAAAAAAAAACAAAAAAACAGCAAAACCAAAAACAACAACAACGATAAAATTGGTCAGAAATTTAACTCTCGACGCGAGACTTTGTGTCTCCGGCTGCTTGGAAGGGTAAATGATACTTGCCTAAAGGGTAGATATTATTTTTTCGGAATACCGTCTAAATACCTAGGGTAACACATTGAAACAGATACCAGGTGCTTTGTATGCCTCTTTGTGCCTTTTTTCGCCGGGAAAACTGTCCTAAATGCAGCTTCGTGAGTCATGCGCCGTAAACGCTTCGATTTTGATCATGCGTAGATTTTTTTTTTCTTCGCGAATTATTTTAGCCAGGAATATATTTTGCTAAGACGTTTGATGGGTTGGAAGGCAGAGAAAAGGAACAAAGGGGACTAGCTGGTGAACTATATAAGACCATAAGAGGCAGCGAAGCCTTGTTTTATTAAAGACATATTCACAAGGCAACCAGTTTTGTCAGTCGCTTTGCCTTCATACCCAGCTTTATCATTATAAGCTACTAGTGTGTATCTAAGGTGATTCCTTGTTGATATTCTAGTTTTCCACATGAAATCTAAATAATTAGATGTAAATATCGTTAATACCTTGGTGTTAACGTTAGAAACGACACAAACGTGTTAAATCAACCCTGAACCAGCCATGACGTCTTCTTAAAACTTTTACATTTTTTCACTTCCTTTCTAAATGAAACTATAAAAAGTTAAGATTTTCTATTTCATCGTTTGTCGTGCAGTGAAAACAAGAGATTTGGTGAAAAACATTAATAGAGCCGGATTCCTGCTTTGATGTGACCTCTTAATTGGAAGCTAATCATTTCTTTTACCGCGGAGATTATCTTGAGGATTTTTATATTTTACTTGTCGTACATTAGCCTTACACTCTTAAAAAAAAAGGTAAAACAACACACACACATAAAAAATTAATATTATTGTAACCTTTTCTCACTGATACTCAAAGAAAACATCACGAAATGAGAACTTTCGACTGAGTCAGAAATCAACAAAAAAAAAAGGTAAAACAACACACACACACATAAAAAATTAATATTATTGTAACCTTTTCTCACTGATACTCAAAGAAAACATCACGAAATGAGAACTTTCGACTGAGTCAGAAAGCAACAGGTTCGCGACTCACCTTGCTTTCCATTTTCATTAATCACATACAGGAGATAGTTTGTAAAAGTCTATCTTGTGAAAAGTCTCAAAGATTTCGAAGAGGAATCATCACCATTACTGATAGAATTTAAGCAAAGATCGATGAGTGCTAGCCTCCAGTCTTGATCTTCTTTTCGCCCTCCGGGCAGGATTAATTACTTTGTTCGAACAACCACACGGAAATATTTGTTAGTAAGGCAGGGTAAATAAGAAAAGGAAGGAAACGATCAAATGAGTGGCAACCAATTATCTTTTTAATACTTGCTTGTTTTGAACTTTCTACGGGACAGAATGGGGGTTACGTTTATGTTAATTAACATTGCTTCCATTGTAAAGTTGTCACGATATTGAACTACCTCCATCAAAGGCACAACTACCTAGAAACTAATTCAATTTCAAGTTCATATAGCTCTCATGGTCGGCAAGATTGTCGAAAAATTATGGTTGACGTTTCTCTTTTATTGGCTAAGTGCTGCTAATGTAAAGCACTCCAGTAATAGAGCACATTGGCTGAAGAAATGTGTTATAATAAGTGAAAAACCTCTCGCAAAGAACAAAATATCGAAAAATTTTATTGATTAAGTTTGACAATATGGCGTCTATTCCAGAGGCAATCTTTTTTTTCTATTATATTGAATAAAAAACTTCCCAGTTCATTTTCATAAATATGTGCATCGAGAGATTTCATAGTAGAGACAGGGGTTTCGTTTATTTTTCTTGTGAGATTCTCCCGTATATTAAACAGTCTTTTCCTGAACCAATTAATAGAAATTCCGTCTTCGGCAAATTCAACAAAACGTTATTGGCTACAAGCCATAACGAAATATTTCTTTCATCTGTGAGTTACTGTATTTCGTTTATTCCTTTGACAATACTAAATTATCTGCAAAATTGATGCTGGCATCAGCAAACGTTATTGATTACCAAAAATGGAGACAACTAAGTAACTTGGGTATGTGCAACAAGACACTTAGGGTCAGCCTAGTATACGCTAAGCCGTTGACATTTTGAAGCGCTGATAAATGGCTCGTAACCATAACAGTCTTATCCACTTAAACTGTTAACCGGCGCATTGGGATTTAAGGTGTTGCGCTGTTACTCAGTTTTTTTATGCGGTTTTTCGCAGTGAAGTCTCAGGACCTTTATTTCGTTTCTTGTATTGCGAGTTAACCTCAGACTAATCGTCAACCACATCCAAATGATCCTTGAGACTGATTTATAATCCTTTCAGATTTGTGAGGAAATGTGGATTTTAATTAGTGATTCCGTACTTTGTCGAGTATATTCAACCTGCTACGTGTCACTGACCCAGTCATAAATTATTAATTTTTTTTCCCACGGAGTTTATTGTGATCGCCTTACTGATCACTAAAAAAAGATATGTAAGTTATTTATTTGTTCATTTTCCTTTTTTCGTGAGACACGGCAATGACCCAAAAATTCCAGAAGAGGATAAGAAACCGCTTGAAAAGATACAAATATAAGATTATGACCTTGCAGTTTCTGTTGTTTGTACATGTTGTGTTCCTTTACAACCTGTATCTTTATAAAGTACCTGGATTGAGCCAGTGCATCCCATAATGAAGTCCTTACAAATAGCTAATAATTTGCTGCTCGTGACTCTTTTTGCGTTGTTTCAAAAATTAGTAACAAGGAGTATCGCTCCGATGGACCACAAAAATAGACCTGGAAACTGCTTGAAACAAGGTAAGAGAGTAAGGCAGTGGCTTTTTATACAGAGAAAACTTTTTTCTTTTGTGAAAACGTTTAATGCCCTTGCCACTCATGAGAAAAAAGAGGTTTATTCGCAAATTCCGTGATTTATCATATATCTTATTTTTTCTAAACCTCAGAGACTGGAACGGGAATTTAAAACACACGTCCTTATCTCCGCCCGTTTACTTTCCCTCCCCCTTAAATTCTCTCCCTTTCACGCTTTGCCTGTTATTTTCAAAATAATATAATGAACCTCTCGTCACTTTACCTTTACACTACACATTTTAATTTCAACAGCTAAGGATTGTGCTGAGCTGTACAAATGCGGAGAAAGAATCAGCGGCGTTTACTCAATAGACCCTGATGGTTCAGGTCCCTTTAAAGTGTATTGTGACCAGACAACAGCAGGTGGGGGATGGACGGTGTTTCAGAGGAGACTGGATGGTTGCTTGGATTTTAACCGCGATTGGGCTGACTACAAGCATGGCTTCGGTAATTTTCTTATTGGTGAATATTGGCTCGGACTGGACAAGATTTATCGTCTGACGCAAAATGAGACGGAAAACAGACTTCGAGTAGATCTGGGAAGAGTTAAGAACAAAGCGGTCTACGCTGAATATTTGTGGTTCAAGATCGGAGAGGAGAAAGCCATGTACCAGCTAAACCTTGGAAATATTGCAAGTAAGTCAATTAGTTTCCTTAAGGCAATTATGTCAACTGCAGCCATGACAACATCCTCAATAACTAGCATTTACGACTCATGCATGTCTCCCAAACGACTTTGTTGCGCTTTTTTATTTAACAAGAGCTTCATACTTCAGCATTCGTCGAGATACGAACTAATTGGGAAGTTTATAGAGCACGAAAGATGCGTAAGAGTCGCTCGATTCGAAGTCGAACGCAACTCGAGCTTCATCATCGATATCGTCACCCTTGAACTTATATTGATATTAATAACTATACCATCACCTTGTGATTAAGTGGTATCATAATTTGTTATTGATATCATTATCGTCGTCTTCTTCATCATAATTATTATTATGTTATTATTATTTTACTATTGTTATTGTTATTATCATTATTATTATTATCACTATCAATATCATCGTTGTTGTTGTTATTGTTGGCAGATGCGACTGTCCATGACTCTCTTGAGTATCATAATGGCTCGTCGTTTGGTACCCGGGATAAAGTTAATGAACACTGTGTCCATAATATATCGGGAGGCTGGTGGTACGTCAATAGTACTGAGTGTGCTGTGTGGTCAAATCTCAATGGTGCTCATCAGCATTGTGGAAAGGAAAACAAGACCACTGCCAGGGTCTGGGCCAAGAAAAAGATCCATTGGGGTAATTTAGCTGTTACTGCAAGAGAAAGCGCTCCAATGACATCTGAAATGAAAATTAAGCCTGTGGACTTTCCTTAACTATTTCCTTCATACATGTATTGATCCACTTATATCTAGTCGATTACTTCATGAACAAAATGCGATCATTAGACCAATTGTTTATGTTAATTGCAAGGTGAAATCTAGCAATAAAATGTTTAGAACACAATCCGTTTAGTTATTTGCTTTGTGTAACTTGTGTTGATTGCACCAGATTTTACGAGAAATATTTGTGTATCACAGGGTCCGGCGTCTGTGTAAACTGCTTGCGTGGAAAGCTGGCAGAATGAGTGCGAAACGGTTTATTAAACTAATTGCATTCAATTTGCCGTTTTTGATAAAGAAAAGCATGCTATTTTTGTACTAGTTTTGCTTTTGTATGTTTGGCTTTATGGTAGAATTAGTTAGATGGAACCGCTACAAGGGTATGATTTTAAGAGCGAATAAGCCAGATGATGTACAATTTTATGATTGCTCTAAGGCCATAACTAACACGAAGCTTAAAAGAGCTGGGTATAGAGTCAAATCTGAAAAGAGCTGGGTATAGAGTCAAATCTGGATGACCAGAGCTGTTTCGGAAGTGGGCTGCATGACGAACGGATGGATCGACTTGATTGACAGTTACACGGAGAAGGCAGTGTCCGGTATTGCGGACGTGCTCTGTCTGTGCTTTAGCGGGTCGGATATCAAGATTATGATCCTTGATCCTGCAGATCACTATACCCAAACGAGTTCGATTGAGTTCAATTGATCGGGCGTTACATAAAATCTTATTGTTGTCGTTGTTTTTTTTTGATAACTGTGAAGACAAGTTCTTGTCAAAGCGGAAAATTTCGCCAGATAGGATTACTTTTGCGTGGGTATTATTTCATGCTTCATTCTTTCTTGCCGATCATACATGAAGATAGTAGTTACATCCTCTTCATAAGAAGTTTGACTAATGATTGCCATAAAAATAACAGTATTATTTCCTCTAAGCACACTCGTTAATTGCACCAAAATTTAAGTTTCAAGTGCACGTTTGCCTCTGGAAACACTCAGTATCTAATTGGCACGAATATCCTGTAATTCAGTTAAGATTTGGGTAAATATTTCACTGATAACCGAAAGTTTCACCCCATAACTCTCTACAACCACTATTTTCGTCCCCACGAACGAAAGCTAGTTCTTTCCCACTTTAAAAGTTCCCTTTTATAAAATTTCATCTCCTTTTCTTTATGGTTGAACTTTAATAAATCGATTGTTTGCCTGGTGTTATATGTTTAATGTGAAAGCAACGCTGCGTCTATCCACAACACGAGATCGAACAAAGGAAATCTGTTGGTTTGAAGCGAGGTAATTTTTAAAATCAACGATCCTTTTTAAAACAAAAAATTCCACTACTGCACAAAAAACAGTTTATTTTCTTTGTGTGATAATCTGCTTCCAATACTAACTGTCACAATAGCACTTCTCCTCTTAACTTTTCACCCTAACTAAATACACTCAGCGGTCTTCAGGAGATTCTACAGAGAATATCTAAGAATTTTTAAAACACGGTGTATCACAGAGCGAGTTGAGTTATTGAAACTTTATGTAAATATAAGCAAAAAAATTGTGTCAAACAGCTCGACTCCGCATTACTCGTGTCCAGGTTGTGCATGAAAAAACACGGCGAATAGTTAAAACCGATAAATGTCAGCAGATTGATAAGCTATAGGTGGGAACATAAGTATAATTGTAAGACTTATATTAAGCGTATAGAAGCACTGAAGTTATAATTAGTTAGGGCCTTGTTAAATTGTTTCAAAAAGGAAGTTCTTGATTGGTTAGAAGTTTTTATGGTCTCTCCCATTTGTAGCCTTCACTATTCGGGTCATTTACTGCTGGTATAAGTACAAATAACTTACTGGCTGATAATGATAAATATCATACAAACAAAAAATAAGCCAAAACAAACTTGTCCTTAACCAAGAGAATCTTATAATATCTTGCTTTAACAAATAAAACTTTTCATCTTTTCAATATAAGAATATGTCTTGTTAGAATCAGGCAAGTTTGTATATATTACGCAATGATTCGTGAAGGATTGAGAAGAAAACCCGAAGCGATCCGGTGTATTCCATGACAGTATGAAAGGTTACAAAGTTACATATACTGAAACGTAGGTGATTGACGGTAGTGGATGGTGGACGGTAGACGATGGACGGTAGACGGTAGACGGTGGACGGTAGACGATTGTTTTTGTATGGGACATGAACTGTCACACAATTGTGTGAGTGTTGCATAAATTTCCTTTCACGGTGTGTTCTATTACTACAGTCAACCTATATTTTATTGAGCGGTCACCCGTTGGGAATGGCGGGGTGACCGCTGATACAGATTGACCGCTTAATGCAGGTTTCACTGAAGGGGGGTGCCATGAAAAACGATATTAAATGTTATTTTTGCCATAATGGACTACTAAATGTATCAAAAACTTGCAGATAAGAATACTTCTAACATGGATTCCAGGATGTAAACACAGATGAGTTTTATTTTAGTGGGTTCACGGATGCTCCATATGGTTTTCAAAATGAAAAGCAATTTAGGACTGCATCTGCCTACTGTTGCATATTATAAATTATGGCAGTAAAAAAACAATGAGCTATATAGTATCCATACCAAAATAGTGAACAGATTTTGTACACTGGTCAATTGTCAGGCCGGGAACAGGGCAGGTACATGTATTAAATGAACATCAAATGTATTTTTGTTCAAAGCCTCGCCGCTCAGTGCGCTCTGCTTACCTGGCGCAGAAGGTATACCTGCCAAAGGTTTAAGGTTCGGTTCCTCTCCTGTCTCCTTTTTCCTTTTTTTTTTCCTTTCACTTTTTTGGAAAAGGTTCGAAGACGTAGCATTTATAAAAGAAAGTTCAGGCTATTGAAAAACCAGAAAAAAAAAAAAAAAAGATTGCGTAAACATTTTGAATTCCGTTATAATAATAATATAATAGACTCCATTGTCTACCGTCTACCGTCTTCCGTCCACCGTCTACAGTCTAACGTTTATTGTCTATCATCTAATTTCTATCGTCTGTGTTTTAGTAAATGCCGATGGGAGTAAATTTTCGGTGGCGAAAAATAAACTTCATCGTGAGTTCCAGAAGACGTCGGTGGTCAAAATAATTAAAAGGGTAACTTGCGAAAAGCCTGAATGCTTGTCAACTTGAGTAATTCTGAGGTTCCCGCTTGCTTCTCAGCTCTCAAGCTTTTAGCGAGTTAATTAAAAGACCATGTTAATTTCTCAAATTTATCGAAAACATTTCCCAGAACAAATCAGACGTAATTCATGTTAAAGCACCGTTCAGTCACTATTCTTTGGCCGTACTAGAATCGGCTACCAGTCAACACCGTTGTAACTCTGACCTTCAGACAAACGAGGTCGAAGTGGCTATGTCTGTTCATGATGCGTCTTGTATCGAATGTTATTCTTAACAGCCTTTTTACCTGTGAATCTGGTGGCGAAAACGGAAAAGCTAGGTTACCTTTTGTCCTCTTGGAATGGCAAAAATTGGTAAAATGAATTAACTTTTCTTACCTATTTTTTTCTTACCAGTTCCCTTTCATGTATATTATGACCTAATGGTTCAGTTCCCTTTCATGTATATTATGACCAAACAAAGCCAAAGACTGGTGGAGGGTGGAAAGTGATCCAAGAGAGACTGAAAGGCTCAATTATTGAATCCGGCCTTAGACAGTTTCGTCGTAAACATGGCGGTAGGCTACTTTTGCGTTTTAGTCCTACTTTTTTGTCTCTCATATTTATAGCCATCGGGATCCATATCACTTGAAAGAGCACGCAAATAGCTTTGCGTTAAGGACAGTTTAAATGCCTTCGGTTGAAATGTGTGGGGGCCGTCATGGCTTCTGCCAGATATCGATTTTCTATTCCTTAAGGTCCTTTTTTTTCTTTTTAGATCATGGATAATGATATCTCCTTCTGGAAAACAGTCTGTCAACTTAATGACAAAGGGCTATTTGGTGAGACTGACAAAAGCTTATTCTAAAATGTCTGAGCTTTCGGCTCAATATGATATCGACAAGGACTCTGAGGAAATTCATCCCAAATTATTTCTGCTCAGCATGCGACGACTACGTTGCTACTTTATTGAGTCTAAGAAAACTCGGATCATAAAAAGGTATAATGAGCTCAAAACGATCTTTTTTGAGGATGTTATCTCATCAGTCGCTACCCTCCACGACGTGTCTTTTCAACGTCTCACCGGAAAAGGATCGAATTTGATAACAAAAAGTGCTAGTAGAGAAAAGGTACATGTAGCACATAGCAGGGAGCGAAGAGAAATGTCTGACGAAAATAATATTTTTAATACAGTAATACAGAAATAGATAAGTCAATGAGGTCTTTTTTGAAATTTGTTTTCAATTCTGTTTTCCTTTCCCTTGCATTACAACACGACCGCTACGATAAAGCTAGAAAGAAAAGGGATAGTCCCAATCCTCTCTCGGCCACATAAGTTTGTTTTGGTATTTTCCAGGAAATGGTATGGAAAAAACTATCTATGGCCCAGACTGTTTATTTCAATTGCACCTGGGGTGGTTAAAAACATGATGATTCAGAGATTTCTGGAGGTTTGGCTCATACTCTACGAAAAATGAAAAAGAAAACAGGTTTTCAATTGAACTGGGAGTAACCAATGACGAACCTGTCTACGCTGTGTATGCATGGTTTGGGTTTGGGGACGAGAATATTACATACCGGCTGAACCTAAGAAATATTCCTAGTAAATCTCTTCTCTCAGCCTATTATCATTATAGTGTCCGTGGCATTGTGATTGGCTACCCAATCCCATCTTAGGCCCTTCTGGTCCTCACTGGATAACCCGCCTGATCCCGCCCAAGGAAAATAATTGCGGGGTGCGGACTTACATGGTCCGTAAATTTTTGGAACATTTCCTACAAAAACCGGAAAATGTAAACAATTTAAACACAGTGATATGAAAGCATGGAGGCGGTTTTGTCTGACGGAAAAAGAGACAAGATAAGTTAATGTGAGCCTGCGAGCAAGAAATGAATTTGCTTTCGTCGAAATGTGTCAAAAACATAAAGAAAACTTATTAAATCCCTCA